TTAACTGTACCAACTTGGTAAAAAGTTAAGTTTTCCAGCTGGTAACAAGAAACGAAGGGAATAAAAGGCCTAGCATCTGAAGTCAACTTCTGAGATACAAGGAATGCATCCGTAGGAGAAGTATGTGCCTTACTGCCTTTTCTTCAGGGAGGTAGAAATAACTACCTTTGAGTCAGACTAGTCCCATGCCCAAGGTCTTATACTTCAAACAGAAGGCAGAGGGCATTTTCACTGTTATCTTTCCCAAAGCAAACATTGTATGTTCATGCCTGTTGCACAATGAAAGGCAAGGTAACTGACAGAGCATCTGGCTGAGGAACAGGGCCAGGATGTACATTCATAATGGAGCCATTCAATCTCATTGCAAATTGCTACAGGTTGAGAGGTTCCCACAAATGTAAGTACTGTAGGTCCCATCTAGCTCCATTCTACTACAAACATCTGATCTAGTACTTCAAACTTATTCCTCTTTCTGTCAACTCTTGTTGTCTCTACAGTCCCCATTTTGCTATGTCACCTCTTATTCTACCCAGGACCCAGGAAAAGTGTCTACTGTTTCACTTTGGGAGGCTGGGAAGTAGAAGTATCAGAAACTACACATTTGGTGTGGTATTTACACACAATGGAATTTTACTCAGCCATGAAGAAGAATGAAATCTTATCATTCACAAGTAAATAGATGGAACTGCAGAACATCATCTTAAGCGAAGTTAGCCAGGCTGAGAAAACCAAAAATCATATGTTCTCCCTCATATGCAGACTTTAGATCTAAAACAAATGCAGTAATATTATTAGACTTGGGTCACATGCTAAGGGGAGGACACATACAGTAGAAATAGGGAAAGGTAGGAAACCCAAAACTTGAAAGTGTTTGATGTCCCCACTGCAGAGGAGCTAATACAGTAACCTTAAAATGACAGAGATCAATATGGGAAGGTGACCCAGAAGTAGTGAAGAAGTCTGGTAGAGATGAATCAACTTGGGTTGTAACACATGTGTACATGGAAGCAATGCTAGGAATCTCTCTGTATAGCTATCCTTATCTCAACTAGCAAAAACGCTATGTCTTTCTCATTATTACCTATGTATATTCTTCAACCAAATTGGAGAAAAGGGCAGAACAGGTTCTGCCTGGAAGTGAGGTGGGGTGGGAGGAAGAGGGTGGAGGTGGGGGAGAGAGGGGGAGAAATGGCCCAAACAATGTATGCACATATAAATAAATGAATGAAGAAAAAAAAAGAAATTACACATTTGGGGATGAGGAAGACGATGTGGACTATGAGTCAAACTCTTCCACCAGCTGAGGGACTTTAAAGGGCACAGATAAGTTGTCCAAACAACAATTCCTCCAAAGCCTGCCTAATTCTTTCTCCTCAAAGGATTGCTAAGGATGAAATGAAAGCATTCATGCGAACAAAGGCAAAAAGTTTTCTAAGTAACAATAGCAGTGATATTATTTATTATCATGCTAAACAAATGATAGGAGCTATTCCATAGTAGTGAAAGCAAGATTTCAAATTAGTGGTTGTGGAACCAGATGAGGAAAGTTATGAGGGCTAAATAGAGAAATTATGACTCATTTAGTAGGCAATGGAAAGAAACCTGGAGATTTTTAAAGATGGTGTCAAATGCTACATGTTTTTCTCTAAAAGCAATAGGAGGACACCAAGACCAAAGAAGGGCTGGAGTGTAGTGTGGAGACTTCCTATGAAAATTGTGCAATGATGTATACATGTGATAAGCAGGCCTGGAATCAGTATGAGAGTGGCAATGGAAAGGAAGCAAACAACAGATGTTTCTTCAACTTGTTAAAAAAAAAAAAAGGTAGCACTTGACTAATTTTTTCTAATTATAAACCTTCAAAGAAGAAAGTTTAGAAAATATAAACTAGAAGAGGCAAAGCACAAAGCCACCTGTTATTGGCCAATTTCTCCCCAATCTCACAAAAGACATTTCCAAGAGCTTGGAGGCATTCAATAAATATGTGAGATGGATTGAGTTCAAATGCTGACACTGAGATGAGCGTGTCACTATTACAGAGAGGAGACTTGGAGTTAGGGAAGGAGGAGGCATCCAGCAAAAGGATGTGATAGGCAGAGTTGAAACAGACTGGTTTCCTCATAAGGGGGCAACACCAGAGAAAGCAGTTTCTGACAATCAGCAAGGACCTGAGGGGTCAGTACAGTAAGGTGACAAAAGTCACAAAGGCTTCCCTCATTCAGCCTTACATACAACCCAGTTTTCTCTTCAGCAGAGACCATCACTGAATAGAGGGCTATCAACTGTTTTGTGTTTTGACTTTTACTCTCAACCCAGGACACAATACACATACACAAGTGTACATATACAGACATATGAACATGTGTTAGTGTGTTTCACAATGAGAACTCAAAAAGTAACTGGAACTTGGCAAAAGAAAAAACAAAGATTAGGGGAAAAACTCACATCACTGTAAGTTACTATATAACTGGACTTAAAAACCAAAATGAATCTATGTTATGTGTGGCCATCAATATTTATTATATGAAAGTTGCTGTGCTTACATTCTAGAGTAGAAATATTAATATAAAAACATATAAAAACCCTACATAGTGATAATCTAGTCAAACTTTGGAAGTGTTGGGTGTGAGGTGAACATGCATTTATTTTTCACATTTATTTTCCATCTATAGAAAATTTGCCATTGTTTTGGCAAAATAATCCAAACAGTATATACCGATCTACATAAGTAAGATTATTTTGTGTCCATTTAGTCAATTGGTCCAATTAATTCTTAAGTAAATAAACTACTAAATATTCATAGAGTTCTGACTAGAAACTTGCCTATAGTTTCATTCTAGTCTTTGGTAAAAGTGTTAAAAGAAAAAATTCAGGTCTCACCAAGTTACCGCTAACAGCTAATCCCATTTTGTAAGTCTTAAGTCATTGTTAATGGAATTAGAATTGATTGAGAAACCTTATTCAAGAAAATAGCTGGTTGAATATTAAGGGAGCATGGTGATAGAGAAAGAGTAAGAAACAGGGTTTAAATTGATTAAAGCACGATACATACAGTCCTGAAGTACCAGGGCAACCCCTCCCCCCTTGGACTATCAATATATACTTAAAACATGAGGACAGGAGAGTAAAATAGGTCTTTTCTACCTAAAATAGGATAGGTACCAATGGGAGGGAGGAAGGCATAAGGAAAGGGTAAAGGAGGGAGAATATGGTGTATATATTTTGTATTCATATGAGAAAATAGAAGAATGAAACCTGTTGAAATTGTTCTAAGAAGGGGGACTGGGAAAACAGGGAGAAAGATGGAGGTGGTAAATCAAACTAAGATATATTGTAAGTAAATATCACAATGTATCCCTCTGTACAACTATTATATGCTAATAAAATTTTTGTAAAAAGAAAAACAGCTAATACTCAGTATCTAAAATAAAACCAGGACACTGTGAATAATGTGGTCTTCCAAATATCTTACTCCTTTAGTATTGCTGGCATTACAATTAGAAACAATTTTTGAAAAAAAGTTATCTGGTAATATGTATCAAAAGCCTCAAAAATATCTATATTCTTTGGACTGGTCATCATATTCCTGGAAATTTTATCCTAAGGAATAAACTTCAAAGAAAAGAGCTAAATGCACAAAGATGTTCATTATAGCATTAACTACCATACCAAAAATACAAACAACTTAAATGTCTATCAGTGGAAGTGCTCAGGCATTGAGAAGAGGGCATGGAAAAGGGAGGACAAAGAAAAAGCGATGGGGCAAGAGAAAAGAGAATGGACAAGAACAATGTTAGGGTTTGAATATGAAATGCCTACCCTCCCATGCTCATGTGTTAACCCCTTAGTCCCTAGCTAGTGGCACTATTTGGGGAGGTTCTGGAAACTTTAGGAGATGGGGCCTACCTGAAGGAAATAGGTTGGAGGGAGAGTTCTTGAGGCTCTAACTTGCACTGGTTCCTGCCTATACCCCTCTTTGCATCCTGCCTGACATGAAGAAGCTCTTCCACTACATGTTCCCGCCACCATGACGTTTGCCCAAGCAACCATGTACTTGAACCCTCTGAAACTGTGCTAAAATACATCCTTCTTCTCTTCAGTTGTTCTCAGAGGTATTTGACACAGTGAAAAGTAACACAAGTAGTAATATGTTGAACTAGGGAAAGACATTAGAAAAGAATACTAACCTCAGATCTTATTACAGACTGTGGGGTGAGATAGTCTATGGGTGTGGCTCAGCGGTACAGAACTTGCCTAGCTTTCCTAGGGCCCTGGGTTCTACCTCCAGCACTGTCCTATGGGAAGTTACCATAAAGGTCTTAGAATAGTAGGGAAACAAAGCTACAAAGATGTTCTTTTTTAAAAGCAGTAACTATGTTAGCTATTTACTAATAGCCACTGAAAAGGAGGCTTATAATGACAGAATTTGGGGGCAAACTAAGACTTTAAGAGACTTACCTACAAAGGTCATTTTCTTAGTTACTAAGGATTTCTATGGCTATAGACTTATTTTCTCCCTTGCTGAACCACTGCAGGCTCCTTTCCCTCCCAGTACCTTAGTAACAACAGGGTCCCTGTTATAAATTAATTCTTTTCCTTTCTCAGCACTATCTTTGCTCCCAAATCCCACAGTCCCAAAACCACTTCCTACAGAGATCTTAAATACCTTAAATCTTGAACCTACTGCCTGAAAAAGAGCTAATGTGAAAAAATGAAGTTGAGTAAGTTTTTTTTTTTAATTAACTTGAAAAATACAAAAGAACAAGTATGTTCTTAAAAAGGTGAATAAGGCCAGGTGTGGTAGTTCATGGCTGTAATCTCAGCAGATGAGAAGTTAAAGCAGGAGGATCATAATTTTGAGGCCTGCTTTGGCTACATAGTAAGTTCCAGACCAGCTTAGGTTACATGGTAAAGTGGTAGAACATTTGCCTAACATAAGCAAAGGCCTAGGTTCGATTCTGAACAACATACATACACACACACACAAATGAACAACTTACAAATTGGAAGCAGCTCCTGACACTTGGCTCAATGTTACTGCCTCCAAAAGATGCAACTTCACCCAACTGTCTTGGGATTTGGATAGAATCATGCAGAAGGAGGCCCAGCCTACGCTGGTCACAAAATCCTGTTGAACTTGCCACTTGCTTGAAAAGATCTACAAGAGGAAGAAGAGAACTTCAATAAACCAAACACAGCACCATGTGGACACAAGCAAAAACTAGTATCTAACTCAATTCCAGTACCAATTCTTAGGAGTAGCCAATGTTCCCCCAGAGGACTTAATTTTTCATTTATGATAATCTGAATATATTTTCAAGCTTCATCTTTTATTAGCATACATTACTGGACATACTTTTTATTGACTAAGTTAATCATCACTATGTATATGTGGAGTGTGACAACTTTAAAAAATAATAGCCCTGAAGTACATGTAAGTTTACATACAATCTTAACACCTGAATTGTTCCGGACACAGAACACAATCTTTTGGATATTATTATATAATATAAACACTCTCATAAAAATTTCAGTTTTAAGAGCCATATAACTGGCCATCCCCTATAAGCATCAGAGATTTTAAAAATGTAACAAATGCAACTTCTTTATGGAGTCCAAAGATCAACAAGCTTCTAGCCTATCATGTATGTTTTCACACAGGATACCGTACCTATTTGTAATTAGCTCATAGCATGTTTATTTATTTGTTTGAGACAGGGTCTCACTGTTGCCCTTGCCCAGGCTGGCCTCAAACTCATGATCCTCCTGCCTCAACCTTCCAAGTGTTGAAATTGCAGATGTGTGCCACCACACCGAGCTTAAATTATACCTCATACTCACTTAGAAATTGCCAATAAAAAATAAATCCAAGAAAGTTTTTTGTACCCACAGCCCATATTAAACTTTAATAAATCAAATAAAATTGTGACCCCATACATGCCTTTTTACCATCTCATTCACATACTTTTTTTACATGCTTATAAACTATTTTCAAATATCTTACTAAGAAGTTAGAAGTTAGTATTTTTGTTTTACCAACCTCAAAATGTTTCCTATTAGTAATTACTTAAAACAGAACAAAGCTCCTTTGATGATTCAATTTAGTATTTACAATATGCTAGTACTATGTCATTGATAAGGTTAGATTAGAAACTAACTTAACAGATGGGTGCAGTATCTCAGCTACTTGGGAAGCTGAGGCAGAAGGATCACTTGAACTTGGGAGTTTGAGTTCAGCCTTGGCAACATAAGACCCTTAACTCTTAAAAAAAATCTAACTTCTAATAAGTAACTATAATATTTAAGGAGAGAAACTAACAACCTGCTGATTTATACAAAATAATTTTAATGGGTTAACAATAGCTGTTCAGTTGGCTATTGTGTTGGTGGTGGTGATGGGTTTTTTTTGAGGGCGGGGAAAGGGTCTTCGGATGAGAAAATTCAAGTCAAAATTATATACAAGTGAGAGCTAAGATGGTTTGTGTATTGTTTGGTTTATTTCTAGAGGAAAAATGAGTGCTAGGATATCCAGTGGCCTTAAAGGAAATCAATCCCTTTTGTCTCCTGCTTGTCCTTACGTTCAGCACATTTCCTCATCTTTGTGTGGCTAGGCCTTAGGGGACAAGGGAGAAGACAAGATATGCTGGATTTATTTAAAGTTTCTCTTGAAAAAGACTTCTTATTAGCATTTAAAGAGGAAAAACCAGTACAGAACTTTACAATGGAAATGGATGGTCACTTGGTAGCCCAAACCATCAGTCCTCTAGCATTGGCTTTTCCTTTAGATTTACACTTTCTAAGCAGAATAATCCAATGGCTGACCAAAAGAAACTCTGTAGAGTGGTATTTGCCATTTAAGAAATAGCAAACTATCTATCTCTCGAATAATGAAATGTTAGTCACAGAATGGGATGTGTTGGTACAACTTGAAGCAAGATGATTATAAAATAAACAATGTTTCCTGAACATGAATGCCAGCTAGTATTCTTTAAATAAGAATCCAAAGATGAGGCAAATGCAGGGATTAAACCTTCACATTTATTTTTCTGACTTATACAAAGGGGTTAGGAAATCAGACTTTATCCCCTCGGAACATGTGTCTTATTCAGACACAGTCAATGTAACGTTAAATAATACTTGGACTGGAGAAGCTAATCCTCATTCTCTATTTAAATACGTGCAATTTAATGTTTGACAGGAACAGTACCAGCCAAATTTTATGTCACTCGAAAAGCAGTTCTACATCATTCTGAGCGAGGTCAGCCAGGCTCAGAAGACCAAAAATCGTATGTTCTCCCTCATATGCGGACTTTAGATCTAGAGCAAATGCAGCAATGTTGTTGGACTCGGATCACAAGAAAAGGGGAGAGCACGTACGGGAGATATAGAAATAGGCAGAAAACCCAAAACACGAAAGCGTTTGATGTCCCCACTCCAGAGGAACTAATACAGAAACCTTAAAACGACAGGTTATTATGAACAGGGGATCAGGAACCAATGTAAAGATCAGTTAGAGTTGAATAAACATGGGTCGTAACACATGGGTACATGAGAGCAATAGTAGGAATCTTTCTGTATAGCTATGCTTAACTCAACTAGCAAAAACTCTTTGTCTTTCTTATATGCTTATGTCTTTTCTTCAACAAAATCAGTCACAAGGGCAGAACGGGACCTGCCTGAAACTGAGGAGGGGAGGGGGGGAAGGGTGGGGGAGGGGGGCAGGGTAGAGAAATGACCCAAACAATGTATGCACATAATAAAAAAAAGAAAAGAAAAGAAAAGCAGTTCTACATCTTACATGAGAAACCTGCTATGTCATTTCCCATCTACAACTAGGGTAATTAGCCAACATCAATAGAAGAATACAGAGTTAATATACATGACTTACATCTGTATTTGTCTTCCAAATGTGCTTTACACAGAGAAATGATGCCGGTTTTGAAAGACAGGACACGGATCCTCCCTGTTCGTCCCCTATTATGAATAATCAAACCAGAAAATAATTATTGACATTCTACTAGAGCCTAAAAACTTCTAGTTAAGAAAAAAGCCTGGATATGGGAACTCTATTGACCACTGTTTTGTTAAATTGTTAAGAACTTTTATGAGTTCATTTATCTATATGGTTCATGACCTAGAAAGGAATGGAAATTTGATCAGTTAGATTAATGAATATTGACCAAGTTTCTAATTCTCAAAAGCCCTTACTTGAATTGTTAGGCAGTACATAAAATAGGAAAAAATATCCTTCTAGTCATATGTGGTGAACCACCACATATGTTAAGTGGTACCACATATGTTAAGTGGGTAAGTAGAAGAATTATCACTGTAAACTAAGCTACTTTGGTTACTAATGCAAATTACTTATTTTTTTGGCAGTACTGGGATTTGAACTCAGGGGTTGTTAGGCAAGTGCTTTACCACTTGGGCCACACCCCAGCCCCCTATTTTGGTTACTAAGGCCAAAAAATTATCAGAAACTAACTGCTCTGCTCTCTTCTATACTCTCAGATTTTCATCAAATTGCCCATGTTAAGAAGACTAATCACTTCAGGCTACAAAATATAACATATGAACATTAATATCCAAAAAACCCATGACACACTCTATTAGAGAGCATTCAAATACATGCTCCATAAGGGAAATTTATAGGTAACCTACTGCTATATCAATGTTTTAATGTATCTATGCTTTCATTTTAGATATAGAAAGCTAAAATCAAACATGCCATATAATAAATTTTTTTATTTTATTTGTTTATTTTTTTGGCAGTACTGGGTTTTGAACTCAGGGCCTCATGTTTGCTAGGCAGGCACTCTACCTCTCCATCAGCCCTTTTTTGTGATGGACTTTTTTCAAGATAGGGTCTCTTGAACTATTTGCCTGAGCTGGTTTTGAACTGTAATTCAGATTTCTGCCTCCTGAGTAGCTAGGATTACAGAAATGAGACACAGGCACCTGGCAACAAATTTTTTAAAAATTTATTTTTTCAATGTAGAAAAATGGAAAATAAGAATGAAATACTTTTCATTTTATAGAAAATATCTTTCAATAATTTTGAAATAATTTTCCAATATTATGGAAAGCAACTAATCTTAGATATTAGTATTTTGGGTGACCAATAATATTCAATTTTCAACTAGTACAATTATTAAATCCCTCATTTAAAGAGAAATTCTCGATTCTAATGTATTAACAAACTTCCTATCATTGGAAGATTTTATCTTTTTCCCCCTCTTAAGAAAAGTTAATGAAGTTAACAAGTTAACAGAAACTTTATAGAGCAACTCAGGTCTTCAAGAAGTTAAAATTATCCTCAAATAATTTTTTCAGACAGATAGAATGGAAGTCATACATTCAGAATCCATTCACATACCATCTGAAAAGAAAATGGCGCCAAAATATATATGAGGGAAGACCTGAGTACAAACCTTATCAAAACAAATTTAAATGTAATCAACAACTAAAATCCAACACATTCAAGGACTTGGTATATAATTATCATGAATTTAATAGCCAGGTGGTCCTGAAATTTAAAAAGCAATACCTTATGAAAATAACAAAGAAAACAGTATAAATTTTAATGGATGAGGTGGTAGAAATCTACAACAAAGCGAAAGTGAAAGCACTTGCTATGCAATTCTTTTCAGTAAAACCTTCCCAGATTTCAAATGGGAATATGTTCTCTTTGATGTGTGAAATGAGGCATGTAGTAATTTTGAGGTCTAAAAAGAATTCGGTGAAAATCAAGACCAATTCCTTCTGCTTCCTTTCTCAATTTTCTTCATTAAGCTCAAGACAAAAATTAGAATTGGAGCTATCTCCTGTGAGCAATCCAAACTACTCTGTGAGACAAGGCTACAAAAGGAGGTGCCAAAGTGAAACTTTGTGCAATAACAACAACAAATCTTTCTTGGTTTGAGGAGCTATGTTTGCTGCATTAAGGGCTGATTTTCATTTTGTTTGGCTCATCAATTGACAGGTATGCCATCCTCTCCTGCAGGGAGAGGGACCAATCTAAAGTGGATGGAGGAATTCCAAAATATACAGGTGAAAGAAGAAAAGAACCATGGCTACATGTTGACTCAGTCAAAATTTGAAAAATGACTGTCAGTTTTATTTGTTTTCTAATTTGAGATCAAAATAAGTTTCAAATCACATGAATGCAGAAATGATTTATCATCTAAACAGGTCCACAGCTTCTGAGGCTCTATTGTAATGCTAATTACAGCATCACAATTTTGCAAACTAGGTCCCCCATGACATGGCAGGAAAAAAACCTGTCATACATACGTATCATAAACATTCAGCAGCCAGTTGAGACACATATCCACGCAGAGAGGGACATTGACCAAATTGTTGTGCTCTTGCTCCAAGCGATCATAAATGGTGGTCAAACAATTAATGATCTGCAGGATATCCATGGGCTGGTCATTTTGCTTGAGATTGTGCTGGTCCAAGGCATCACATGCAGCTGACAGGCTCAAGAGATCCACTGCAAAAACACATAAAATCACAAATGACTCAAAGCATAAAATCCCCCCTTTACTATCCTTCCTTTTCCTTTGAGAATCCTGGTGAAGTTGCCTCTTTTCCTTTAGGAAACACCAAACCCAAACTCCAACCTCTTTTAAACGTAGATTTGACAAGTATTCAGGACCTAAAGTTGTTCTCAAATCTCACTGGCACTGGGTAAAAATGTGGGCAAAGAGATAGTTCTGTTCCCTGGAGTACTGGTGAATATTTGAGAGTTAAGGAAACTTCTATCTGTTCTCTGTGAACACAGTGATTTCTACCCGAATAAGAGAAAAGCGTATAGTAGAGATGTTGAAAGCAATTCTGACAACACTTTCTTGTATTAGTATTAGAGAAGGTCAGTTAGATTAATCTGTATGGTTAGGGTTGTGTAAACTCGATTTCTGGCTGTGCATTTATAGTCATTAAGTGTTTCTCTCCTTGAAATAACAGAGACCTAAGCATCTCTCAGCTGCCTTAACATTGGGTGAAAAAATAATCAACCTCACTAAAATTTTCTATAGGCAAACAGAAGTAACTATGTAATCTATCCAGCTTTTCGGCCTTAGGCTCATTTATTTCTCCTTTTACCTTCAAACTGTATTTTTACAATGTACTTTTCAAGCTAAGAACCTTCTAAAGCTGGGGGAGACGTGAATCCCCGTGATCTGAGATGGTATTTAATCATATGGTGAAAGATAAAAATTTAACAAAAGTAAAACTTCACCCATGTTCAACATCAGCAAATCATGAGCTTTATTCCCAAGTGTCATGAAAACATGCTTTTCTCTAAAGCCAATTTATTAGCCAAATTGGAAATGCAACAGCATTGCTTTTATACCACCTTAAACAACTAAGCTCTAGTTGGAATTCTCAGTCCTTTCAGACAAAGAATCAATAATAATTAAGTACCTCTCTCTTACCCATCTAGGGGGAAGGAGGACTACAATTTTAATTGCAACTTCAGATAAACACAGGTCACTCCATTCAGTAAACAGTTTTCCTAATAATAAAGAAATGCAAATTTGAAGCCATAATGAAGTTTACTAGCTACCTATGGCTAGTTCTAATTAAATACTAAGAAAAAAACAAATGTAGTGGTTAACACCTATGTAGATTAATACCTATGTAGTACGCACTTTTCTCTTTTGCAAAGGAAAATAGAAAACTATGTAGTTTCCATGGAATCATAAAGGTATCCTGGTGGTGGAAGGAATAAAGCTGTGTGTTGCCATGGACCAGTTTCCCTAAAAATGTCCTGGACTAGCACCCCTCCTGTGGAAGGAAAGGCTCCTATTTATTTATTTACTCATTTATTTGTTTATTAGTTTATGCAGTGCTGGGGATGGAACCCAGGGTCTCACACAAGATAGGCAACTGCTGTGCTGCTGAGCTATACTCCCAGTTTCTTTTGTTTTAAAATGTAGTCATACGTTGCTTAATAATGGGGACACATTCTGAGAAAAGTGCCATTATGCAATTTCATCATCGTGTGAATATCAGAGTGTACTCACACAAATTAAGATGGCTATGCCATCACTAGATGGTATAACCTTAAGGGACCAGTGTCATCGACCCAAACATCATTATATTTCAGTGAATGACTTGTACTCTGAAGAAATGGTTTATTTCCATGAAAGCTAAGACTGTTTTAAGTGGCAGATTGGGAGACTAAACTGAGAAGGAATTGGGGGGAGGGGGCGGGGGAAGAGAATGAAGAATTTAAAAAAATAACAATGCAAGTAGGCAGGAGGCTATAAGGAGAGAAAAGCTGAATGAGGACTGCATGGAAGACTGGACAGAGGTGCAGGAACAAAACTGAAACTTTCAATCTCTCTTCTGTGTGCTTAACTTCCTAAGAGGGCAAGTTTCAAGTGCAAGTCATGAGAACATTTAGAAATGCAGCACACCTGTTCCATTATTGAAGAAATGAATTTCTTCCATGTACCAACATTCCTGACATGTTTCTTCACATATCGAAGGAAGCTATGGTAGTCTGAATTTTTTCTATTATTTTCTTTTTTGTTACTCTGCTTTAATCATTATAAATATTTTGCTTTAGATCCAAGGATATAAAAACAAGTGAGAATTTTTAGACTCACTTTTTTATGAAGAGTCTAATGTACCCATAGATGGAAACAAACAGCAAAATTGCATGCATTTCATTTTATTGGGTCTACTCTTATCTCTGCACAAGTAAATAGGTAATACACAGAACAGAAAATTTCAGAGTATAAATAACTCCAGAGGGGAGCAAGACAATTGCTGTGAAATAACAGGAGCAGAAGAGGACACAGGAGAGAAATACTGTGCAGTGTGCTCTGATAAAACCGGACGTGGTTAAACATAAGAACAATCCATTACAGAAGACTGAGGAACACATTTTCCAAAACAAACATATCAAACAGAATTTTACTTTCGTGGAACAATTTTTTAAAGACCTTTACTTAGGTATACACAGACCATGCTATAGACCTAAAAAGATGTGAGAAAAGAGATAGGGAAAATGTAATTGCCACACAGACATATACTGTTCCAAACAAGTACACTAAAGAATACATGGAAATTTTGGGGTAAATCTTTAAGTATAATAGTTAGCTTTTCTGGAAGCTTCAATAAGCAACCAGCACACAGTTTGATGAAAATATTCTTTTTCCTCAAATTAGGAATTTTCATTTGAAATATATATATATATGTGTGTGTGTGTGTGTGTAAATATATATATAACTCTCTATATATACATATGTGTGCATGCATGTATATACATTCTTTAGTATATTCACTGAGGGATATATTTTTAAAGCTATATAAAAACCTGAGTATTTTAATATGCCCTCTCTCAAAAATATTTTAATAAAAGAGGATGCTATATAGGCTTTGACACCATTGAATAGGACCATGTGGTGCTGTCACATTCCTCTGGGATGTGGGAGTAAGAAAGTGGAGACAGCACAAACATGACTAACTCCCCAGTATCTCTTTGCTGGCCCAAAAGGCAGACAATGAGTTGGGGAGAAAGGACTTAAGAATAAGAATTCCATGTAATTTCCTAAGGCTCCGGTTGTACTGAAACATTTTCTCAATCTTCTAGGTTCAAAGGTTTACTAAGACCTTCATATAGATGCCACAAATAAGCTGAGAAAAGTGTCTTTTGTCTTTTACAGAATCATAGACTTTTAGAACTAGAATGCACCCTTAAAATTATTTTGCAGTTGAGAAAACTGAAACCAGATACAGAGACTATTGTAACTATTATGGCCAAATATCTACATTTTCTGATTTCTCATGGAGGAACATATGGAAAGGCAAAAAAGTGCACAGGAGATGATGTGCTTACTGACTTTGGAGAAAAGGAAACCTCTTCTGCACTCCAAACTAATAATAGTAGGGAAAAGGAGAAGCACCAAAAGTTGCTTAGTGGTGAAAACAGTCTCATGGTGCCCACACAACTCCAAGTTCACAACCTGGATATGTGTGTCAACATATGGCAATGACCAAACAACTGAGTCTATCTGCTGACTCTTTTCTTGCTCAGGGAACAGAAGATGCTTATGAGAAGAGGAGGTTATCATTGATATCATGCCATTCTATGGGCAGCTTTGACTTAAGGATGAAGGACTTTCCAAGTAAATCTTTGTACCACAAGAAAGTCAATGCATTTTTGTGTAACTATTGTACTATGAGGGTTAATTCCAGATGGTCTGGAGTTACCATGAGATGTTTTGCTAAAACATCTACACAGCACAGTGGTCAAAGCAATGAAAAAAAGTGATGTACTGTGGTTGATGTGTAACCATGGGTTACAGGTTATCACCACTGTTTATCGATAACAGTAACAATGATCATTTTTGTCTGGTCTCAGTGAGATCCATGAATGCCACAAGATTTTAAGCTGGCTACATAGGAAGAATGTGTTGAGGTTATGAGCAAGATATAGGAAACCCTAGCTGAAACTTCAATCTATGCTCTTGGGTTTCCAACCCTGTTTTGTGATAACATCAGTAATTCTTGATCCAAGAGACAATTTGTACCTTGGTATGGCTCTTGTAAACAGAGGGCAATTGGATCTACACCTGGCCTCTCTGGATCCTATTCTGTAAGGTAGCCTGTGACTGTGATGCATATCCAGTGTTCAATGTAGTTGGGATACTATATTTTGTTCCTGAAATGAACTGAATTTGTAAACAATGTCATTCAGGTACTGTGAATCCCCTTTAACAACTCAGTTGTCTAACTGCCACCATTAGTGTAGTTAGCATCAGAAACAAAGACTCCTAGCTCACTCTTAGCTAAAAATATGACTAAGATATTATTTAGAAAGAAAAAGATGATTTCATAAAAAGGATGAAAATGAACAGCTGATGGTAGTCACCCAAAGCTACCCTTGGTTTGAAGTAGCACAGGGTTTGAGGTTGGTTACTGCTAATTCAACTTTCAAGTGGAATCTGGGTATGATAGAGCTGCAAACTGATGTTAGGGCTATGAAAATGCAATTCCTTGATTGTGTTAGTAAAAGCTAAAGAGCGAGCAGAAACTCCTTCAGTTGAGCTTCACCCTCTCTGGCCTGCAGGTGGAGTTCTAACCAAAGGAACCTGAGCAACTATCACTTTTGACAAATGGGCTACCTGTGAGACCAATTATAATTTAAAAGATAATCAAAGTGGGGAACTTACAGGTGTTCCCTACTTTGCCACAATTTTCCTTTCGCAGTGCTGGACCTAGTAGTTCCTGCACTGGGCTACAATTTAGACTCAAAGGCTGGTAATATCCAAAACAAGAAACTATGGCCATTAGTTGGAACTTAAGTACAAAGATCAAAGGACGGGATTACCCCTTACCTGTACCTTGCCTAATTGGGGCTGTCATAAACTTTTTGTTGCCTAGGACAGAATAGCCCAATTTCTCTGTACTCCAATCTGAATGATCCCTTACCACTGGAAACAGACTAAAGGGAAGCCTTGGCATGTCTTATTTTGCTAC